TGAATTTTAATAGAGGAAGAAAATGGAGAATTGACACTGAGAGACTCAGAGAAGTTAAACTAAGGCAGCTTACCCTGAAAGATGGGGTTTTTAATCCCGTGTCTGATTGTTAAATTTGGAGTCTCCCCCCTCCCCCCCCGTGATGACTTAAATTTCTCTTCTACTCACTGACAAAATCTCCCTTCCCACAATCGTGCTTTGTCTGGTAAATTTTATTCATCTTACAAGGCATAGCTCAGATGTCACCTGTTTTGTGAAGTCTTTCTTAGTTCTCCTGAGACTCCACAGACTCTCCTTCTTTGTGCTCTGACAGCACAATTTTTTATGCAACAGTAATAGAACACATAAGGCATTGTCTTGTAGACCCTGTATGTTCCCTTTTTTTACCCCCAGTAAATTAGAAACCAATGTCTGTTCATGGACCTTTCATTTTATTTAAAAAAAAATATATCAGCTTTAGCTAAAGACAAAGAAAGAAAGCTATGAGGAGAGGCCAATTATGGGAGGTTACCCAGAAAAACATGGTAAACAAAGGTAAAGTTGTTGTGCAGATTTTTTTCCCCTTTATTGATTAAGATATTACAAATGTGTCCTTATCCCCCCAATGTCCCCTCATCCCCCAATCCTGCCCTCACCCTCAGCCCCTGTTGTCCACATCCATCGCTTATGCTTATATGCATGCATGCAAGTCCTTTGGTTGATCTCTCCCTCTCACCCTCGCCCTCCCCTATCTAAATGGATAAGATTCTCTTGTGATTTAGAGTCGTCCTTCCCTTCCTAAACCACGGAGGGAGATACTTACAAATGGGGATGCCCTTTATGTCCCTTACAAAAGGGTAACACTACTCTGGTTTTCAGAATGTCTCCTGCGTCTGCTCTTTCTCAAAATATTTAGCTTAGAATTATCCTTATGCCAAAAAGGCATATTTGGGGATAGCATATTCTACTGCCATTCAGTGCTCACCTCAAAGAGTTGTGAGGATTAAATGAGCTCATATGTGTAACGCCCTAACACTGACACATACGTACTCAATACATGGAAGCACTTATGATTATATTACATACCACAAGTGTATGTTCTCTTTTTCCATTTAACATTATTTAGTATACACATTTCCAAAGAAATGTAACTGAAACATAAAAAGTAATTCTAACATTGTTCTTGATAAAATATAACTATTACATGAAAAAACCCTTCATTTTAAAAATACGTAAAATTACATTATAGGTCTCTTCATTTCAAAAGAGTTTGAAAAACTGTAACCCTTAGTTAATATCTGACATTATGAGATGTCAGTAGATTATTTAACTATTCCTCTGTTAAGTATAAAAAAGAATAACTATATTAAATATTTAGAAACAATCTGTATGTCCCACAATAGTGGAATGGCTAGGTCATCTGTGATGTAGCTTCTTGATGAAATAAAATGCACCCATTAAAAATGCCCAATCTCGCCGAAACCGGTTTGGCTCAGTGGATAGAGCGTCGGCCTGCGGACTGAGAGGTCCCAGGTTCGATTCCGGTCAAGGGCATGTGCCTGGGTTGCGGGCATATCCCCAGTGGGAGATGTGCAGGAGGCAGCTGATCGATGATTCTCTCTCATCGATGTTTCTAACTCTCTATCTCTCTCCCTTCCTCTCTGTAAAAAATCAATAAAATATATTTTAAAAAAAAAATGCCCAATCTCTTTCACACCTATGTTCATAGCAGCACTATTCACAATAGCTAAGAGGTGGCCACAGCCCATGTGTCCATCAAAGGATGAATGGATAAGCAAAATGCGGTATATACATATAATGGAGTATTATTTGGCCTTAAAAAAGAAGGAACTCTGACACATGTCACAACATAGGTGAACCTTACGGACATTATGCTAAATAAAACAAGCCAGTCACTAAAAGACAAATACCGTAGGATTCCACTTATTTGAGGTATGGGTCAGCTTCATGGAGACAAAGCAGAATGTGGTTACTAGGGGCGAGGGGAAGAGGAAATGGGGTGTTGTTTAATGGGTACAGACTTTCAGTTTTGCAAGATGAAAACATTCTGGCAGTTGGTTGCACAACAGTGTGAATATATTTAATACTGTATGCTTAGAAGTGGTTAAGATGGTACATTTATTTTATGTGGGTGTTTTTTTTTTACCACATTTAAAAATAATAATTTTAAAATGCTGTCTCTGAAGACTAATTTTGTAATGATACATAAAAACCATTCCTGATAACCATGTTGAGTGGAACAATCAGGATATGAATATGTATTTTATAACTATGTAAAGACTATCTGTTGTCCAGAGTGTTTGGAGTGCCGGGTTCCAGTGGAGCATTGTTTTTCTATTTCTCATGTTTTATTTATTTATTTATTTTTTAAGATCTTTATTGTTGAAAGTATTACATATGTTCCCTGTTTTCCCCTGTTGACCCCTTCATCACCCTATTGAACGTGTATGCATATATGCATAACCCATGGACACTGTCTCGTATGTTTTATAATGTGCTTATTATTGCTTTTATCACTAAAAATAAAAATTAAAAAAATACATATATTTTTATTGATTTCAGAGAGGAAGGGAGAGGGAGAAAGAGCTAGGAACATCAATGATGAGAGAGAATCATTGATTGGCTGCCTCCTGCACATCCCCTACCGGAGATCGAGCCTGCAACCCGGGCATGTGCCCTTGACTGGAATCGAACCTGGGACCCTTCAGTCCATAGGCTGACACTCTATCCACTGACCCAAACCAGCTAGGGTTAAAAATAAAAATTTTAATATGCAAAGGTAAAATGACCAGAAGGAAATAGTTCACCATCATCAGTTCACCATCATCCCAGAGCAAGGAGACAGACCACCTAACCTGGTCTGTTCCTCAGGTTTGTCTGGAAGGTCCTGTTTCCTTTTGCCCAAGGTTGAATGGCTACAGGAAGAGTTCATTACTATGTGGTAGGAATGGTTCAGGGTGAGGTATTCCTTTGCCTCCCTCCTGTTGGCAGCAAAACGGCACCAGGTGTGAGACCAGTGGAGTCAGATGGAACCTTGGTTCAGCAACCTCAGCACTTGAGCTCTGGCTAAGAAAGAATTCAGAGCCAAGATTCAAATACTACAAGCAAAAGTTTATTTAGAAAGTCACAGAGGGAAGAAAAGTGAGCCAGCTGGGCATGGGCTTAGGAACAAGTTGGAGGCAACAGAAGGGCCCTTGGAATTTAGGAGAAAGACAGAGGCAAGGAAAATGCACCTGAGGGAAGGGGGTGGGAAAGGTGCAGGGCTGCTCAAGAGAGAGCCACACTGGGTGCTGGTCTTGAGGGTTATTTATCTGAAGGTCCCAGGGGAGGAGCTCAATGGAATATTCATCAGCTTTCCAGGTGTGTCTTTCAGGGTCACAGTCTCCACTGATTGGTCGGCACCAGGTCAGGGCTCATTAGTCAGTGTAGCTGGTCCTGAGGTCAGCCATGGCATTGTCTATCTGGTTTTGCTGCTTTCCTGGGCCTGGGCCTGGGCCTGAAACACAACTGAGGCCTAGATGTTACCCACAGGGGTTGGGGCTTCAGGGAGTGGTCATACAAGGGCCAACATGGGAGTCGCATGAGGCCACTCTTTGGCCCCTTGTTCCTCCTCCAGGGGGTTATACCACATGACTAGTGACTTGCCAGGGGAAGAAAGGGCAGGGCAGGACCCAAGCCACACGACCAGCGATATGAAAGATCAGGGGGGCTAATCCCTATGACCAACAATATGAAAGGTCAGGTCTGAATGAATTTCCCAGTTTTGCCCATTGCCAGGCACCCAGGCACCTGGTGACCTTCCGTACCTGGCCTATCGTCCTTGCTCTGCTCATGCCTGTCTAACTGCCTAGCACACTTCCACTAACTTTGTCGACTCCAGAAAGTATTGAGCCTGGAGAAAAAAATATATTTTTACTAAGGCTTTTATAGTTTCATATTAAGTTTAATAATGAAATTTATCCAAATAATAACACCCTGCAATGACATGGTCTTGCATGCTTTAGGGTTCGAGAACATTTTAAGAAAGTTTATTTTTACTTATTTTTCTACCTTCCCGGGTAAGGGTGGGAATAAGTCATTGGTAAATGAGGAAACTGAGGAGACCTGATTTACATCAGGGCTGCAAATCCTGAGTTAGGACAGAGAGCCTCCCCATTTCTAGGCTGCTGCTCATTTCAATGAGTCTTATTATCTACCTATGGTAAGAATAGCTTATAATACTTTTGAAAATCCATTGATTGATTTGGTCAGAGGAGATATCCTCAGTGCAGTAAACTCTTTCCCTTTTCTCTCTCTTTTTTTTTTTTATAGGCGGGAAATGTTTCATTTGCCCTCAGCCTCTCCCGGGAGTTTCTTCTCTACAGTACGTAATGATAAAAGATAAGCCACAGGTCTGAGTTACTGGAAATCCCTTCTGCTCTTGCCCTTTAATCTCTGCAAGTGGAATCCAGCTATCTATTTTTATTTTTCTAATTTCATAATCTAAGTCACATTTCTAATTTTGGATTGAGTCTTACGTAGTGATTGATGCATTGGGAGTGTGAGTGTGGGGGGCGTTTGAGTTGGAAAATGCTAAGAAGATACTAATCTGTCCTTTCCTCCTCCACCCCCAAACAGTTATATATTAATATTTATTCAGTGGGGAACAGGTCCTGGATTGGGAGCCAGCTTCTTCAGGGACATCGAAAGACCCAGGCTTGGGAAGTAGGCCTGGGAACTAGTGAACTCAAGGGGAGCTGTGTGTGCAAGGAGGGTGACTCAGCAGGATTATTCACGTCTACAGAGAGGTAGCAGTCCTTCCTTTAAACCAGGGCTCACTTTGCTATGCACGCATCCCGCCCACTTAGCACAGAATGGAGCCTGGGCCCTCACCAGAGTTGAACAAGAGAGAGACTTTCTAGCTTAGCTCTCTGCTTGGATATTTTTGTGGACAATTTTGGTAGCAGATGGCTTCCCAGGTTTTCCTTTAATAAGATATTTAGATTCTAAAGAAAGATACGTAATCAGTATGATGTTTTAATAGTTATACAATATTTCATGTAGGACTTGGCAGTGGTTTTTTTATCTATCACTCTTGAATAAGTCCACTTAGTAATGTTATTCTATTATGATAATTTGGCAAACCGGTAGGATAAGGAAGTAGCTGTATGGTCTGGAAACACATGGGCAATTAGTGGTGCAGGCAAAATGAGAACACAATGTTCCTTTATTTTTGTGCTTGATGTGGTAAAGGCTTTGCCTGTCGCAGAGAGCCCACATTGTGCACTGTTATAGGTGGATCAGCAGGACACAGCGAATTGAGAGTCCCAGTTCCGTTTCTGGCTTTGCAGTATTTTCACTGGTGTTTTGGGTTCATCATTTCCATTCTTCAGAATTTCATTTCTCCTCTTACGAAAAAAAAAAAAAGGTGGTAATTTCTGTCCCCTCCTTCCCTCCTTTGTCAGGGCGGAGGTGGCGGTTGGAAGCACACCGAGCTCCACAGAGAAAGATGCTTTGGAAGCATGAGAGCAATTTAGCACCTTCTTCTGAGAATCATAGACAGAGGCTAGGCAGCCAGGGGTAGTTGCCACTCGCAGGGCATCTTGCAGCCAAAGTGGGCACAAATGGGACACAAGACCCCACAGGAACTCGGGCTAGAAGTAAAGCTAGAACCCCCATGTCCCAGACTGCTTTGCTCTGTGTCTAGGCCGTTTAGGAATTCTGAAGGAGCTGGAAGAGTCAGGAATTAATCAGCTTCCAGTTCTCCAGGAGGAATAGGCCAGGCCTCTGCTACAGGGTTTGGCTCTCAACTTCTCTTTCATAGCACTCACTTGTCATGTTTCATTGTAACTACTTAATGTCTCTTCCCCATTAGACTGTAAACTCTAGGAAGTTAGCTCTAGCACAGTATCTGTGTATAGCAGATGTTTGCTGAAGATTTACTGAATTGATGACTAAATGAACGAATGAAAGGATGAAGATTATTCCCTATGCAAAAAAAAATTGACCATGCCCTGTCCTTGAGCTGCCGTCCTGATGATCTCTTGGCCTAGGAGTGTTAAGTACCACTTTCCTTTCCAAAGTCCTTTACACCTTCAGATCTATCAGGCCCAATTCAATATTCTTAAAATACCTGGTACTCTTCTGGGAGTGCGGGCCCCACATCCTCCTGCGTCCCCGGGGACACAGGCGTTACAAGGTGTGCCGGTGCTGGTCGAGGTGACAGTGAAGCCGTGGGAAACCGTGGCAGCACTCCCGGGCCCACTGCTTGTCAACCTGCATTACCCTGCTCTCCTTTCTCCCAGGCCCGGATAATAAGAGGATGGCCAGGAATGTCTTGAAATATGAAAAGCTCTTGGCAGAGAGCGCCAACCAGGCCGTCGCGGAGGCTGTCATCCAGAGGCCCAATGTGCCCCACCTGCAGACCAGGGCCACCTATGAGGGGTTGTGTCAGACCCTGGGTTCCCAGGTAGGATTTTTCAGAGAAAGAGAAAAGGGGAACCGCGTGGCTATAGAGAGAGTAGAATTGGGGCAATGTGAGGAAAAAGGCTAGTTTCAGAAAAAACAACACTCACTTGGACAGCATCAGAGACCGCATTCTGGATCTCCCACAGTCCGCTGTTTTTATGTGTAGTTCCCCTAAATTCGTGCCAGCTCCTAGACCCTTTCCTCGTATGCCGACTCCAGCCTTTCCTTCCAGCCTACTCACTACCAGATCCCGAGCCTCCACTGCTCCTACGAGACCAATTCCAGCCCCTACCTGCTGCTGCAGCCCGTCCGGAAGGAGGTCATCCACCTGGAGCCCGATGTTGTTCTCTACCATGACTTCGTCAGTGACTTGGAGGCTCAGAAAATTAGAGGGCTGGCAGAACCGTGGGTGAGTGTCCCCAACGCTTGCCAAGAACTTCCTTCTGTGCCTTCACAGGTCTGGAGTTCAGGAGTGTGAGAACAGACAGCCTGAGCAACTACACCTGTCAGCGGTTCAGGAATTCAAAATGACAGCTGTGCCGTACAACTGATCAATGGTGCAAAAATATCACAGTAGTGGTTGCCTCTGGAGGGAGGGGATTGGCTGGGGAAAGGTACAAGGGATTTTCTGGGGTGTTGAAATGTGCTCTCAGTATCTTCTTAGGGATATGGAGTACACAGCTGTAGGCATTTGTCAAAGCTCACCAAATAGTACACTCCAGTTCTGTGTGTTTCATTGTATATATCAACTTAAAAAAGAAAAAAGGTATCCTCCCAAAATGTCCATCATTCTATGTAATTGGTAAAAGAAAAAAAGGGTGAAATGACAGGGTCAAGAGTGATATCCTGGTCCAGATCTACAGACTAACAGAGTGGAGAGATGATCCAGGTCAGCTTTATTATTTTGTTAAGGGAGAAACAGGCCCAGAGAAGAGAAGGGACCTGATTAAGGTCCCCCATGAAGCTAGAGCCAGAACAGGAACTGAGAGGGGCGGTGATGGTCACGCGGCTCGCCCCCCGCCTGGTACCAGTTCTCTCAGGCTAAGTTACATTGGCCAGCAAGCAGACTGAAATCTCCGGGACAGCAGACAAGTCTGCTTCTCTCTCCCATTACACGTCAGTGGTGGGGTGGCTGAGCTCCGCCCCTGCTGTCTTCACTCAGACCCAGCCTGCAGAGCAGCCTCTGTTTGGGACATTGCCAGTCTCGTGGGAGAGGAAACAGACCGAGATGGCAGACTACTGGCTGGCTCTTAGAGCTTCTGCTTGGGCGTGTCAGACGTTCCTTCTGTTCACATTTCGTTGGTGAAAGCAACGCTGAGAGAGAGAATATTGGAGTCTCCCACAGGGAAGGCACTGCAAGTCGCTGTGTCAAGCTTGACATCGGTGCAGAGGGGACGTTTAGTTGTCGCCCAGAAAATGTGGCAAATATTTAGGGAAATTATAAGACAGTCTCCCTCTCCACTCTAACATGTTGCGCCTTTTTACAAACGGCCCGTGACCTGGCTCAGCAGTACTCACGTGAGGGTGCCCGTCGTGGTGAGCTGTTCATGCAGCACCCGTTACGCACTGGTCGGGAGACGGAGCCTGCTGCGTGCCCACACGCCGACACGCTGTGGGGGGCTGGCTCCCGCAGAGGTGAAGTATGGGTCCTTCCCCTTTGGGGACGCGCTGCATAACGGGGAAATAGAGATCTGCAACACACTGTGCTGTGTGCTGTCGGAGAGGTGTGTGCAGGGAGCCGTGAGATGGCAGCATAGGAAGCGAACCGCCCGCCGAGGGAAAGGCAGTTGGGTGAGGAGCAGCTGAGGGAAGAGGAAGAAACAGGGCTTCTCCGTGGACGTGAAATTCATCACAGTGACCAGGTGGCAGAGCATATTCCAAAGACAAAGCAGTCTGTGCAAGGACCTGAGGTGCAATGTGTTCAGGGAGTGGGGGAAGCTCTGTGGCTGGTGTGGTGGAAGTGAGGCTGCCCACGGAGGCAGCATCAGAGGCTGTAAGGACCACGGGGATGTGGATTCTATCCCGGAGGCAGGGGGAGAGCTGTCAGACAGGAGGGTGGCGAGATCGGGGCTGCAGATTTTAAGGAGGATTCTGACAGCAGGCATGAACTGGACGGGAGAAGAGCAGCGATAATCATTTCACCTAAAAGCCCATCCAGTGAAGTATAGAATCTTCGTAGAGAAGGTGTTTGAGATGAGTAAGCTCCACCGGGAAGCTGAGTGAAGTATTTTCAGTAGCTTTGGCTTCTCAGGGAGCCAGCAGGAGCAGTTGGCCAGCAGCTACTTTTTCCTGAGAACAACTCTGTTGCCGTAGTAACAGGACAGAAGGCTCATCCCGAGATACGCACTTAATCCCTCATGGCCAGGTCATCTATTTAGCTTGCACAAACCTTGCCACACTCCCTGTCCCCCGGAAGTGTCTTGCTGGGTGGCCGATCCCTGTCTGGTCTTTGGCTCTGCCAGGAATAAGCCCTGTTTGTGTGGTGGCGGCTGCCCCACGGGAGCTGAGCACAGACGCCTCAGAGGCTTGTGTTGAGTTTATCTGCTTCCTAGTCACTGTGCCTTTACCAAAGGATGCTCTCGCTCCCCCCCCCCCCCCCACATACATCCACATTCTAACCAAACTTAAAGGCTCGGTTGAAACCCCTCACCTCCATTGACCCACTTAGCCCTTACCACTTTCATTGGTTCTTTCAGTAGAAACATTTTTTCAGAGTACTTTTGGTGGGCAACATACCATAATCTCTCCCTCTTCTGAACTGAAAGCTTTGCCACTAGTTGTTTGGTACTTTCCTTTTTTCTGCCATTTATATGTTGTCTGGTATCACTAAAAGTTTCATGGGTGAGCATCCTGTCCCCCCAATGAGACTGTCAACTAGCTGGGATCATACATTGTCCTTCTTGAAATGCCTAGCCCTGTATCATACAGGATGCAACCAAAGTGACCTTTAAAAGGTTGAATCTGACCATGATAAGCCCTTGCTTAAACTCTCTAATGGGTTACTTTTGCTTTTGAATGATTACCAGCACATTGGCCTGGCTGCTGCCGACCCCTTCTGTAGCATGCCCCCCTTGCATGCAACTCCCCAACTGCACTGAACTTGCAACCCCAGGCAGGGGTCATACTCTCACCAGCCTCCACACACACTCTGCTTTCTGCCTGAAACGCTCTTGCCTTGGCTTCTTTTCACCTGCACGATTCCTGTTGCCTTTGGGGCATCCTGGGAAGCCTTTCTGTCCCCATAAGAATGGCCCAGATGCTCCTTCTCAGTATTTCCATAGCATCCTTTACTTGCCCCTGAGGGCACCATTGCATGACTTACGTCTGGTTTCATACGCTGTATTTCCAACGCCTAGCAGTGTTTTGCACAGAGAACAACCAATAAATATTTGTCCCCCAAAATGAATGATTTGTAGGTGTACAATAAGTAATCGTTAAAGGAACTCAGTGCAAAGTGGTTCCTTAATAGTGGGGGTGGGAAAGCAGAGATTCTCTAGGATTTTTTTTTTTTTTTGATCACTGCTGTTGCCCTAAAAGAACAGGAGGGAACATCTCTCCTCTTCAATGAACAACTCCGGAGAGGATGCTGGGAACAACTGGTGGAGGAGTAGGTAGACCAGTGGTTCTCAACCTTCTGGCCCTTTAAATACAGCTCCTCATGTTGTGACCCAACCATAACATTATTTTTGTTGCTACTTCATAACTGTAATGTTGCTACTGTTAGGAATCGTAATGTAAATACCTGATATGCAGGATGGTCTTAGGCGACCCCTGTGAGAGGGTCGTTCGACCGCCAAAGGGGTCGCGACCCACAGGTTGAGAACCACTGAGGTAGAGGCACTATCCGTCACCCACTGACTTCCTGCATCCTGATATTGACAGGAACTCCCAAGCATGTGTCGTTCCCATGCTGCAGTTTGTGGCTGGGGAAACGGACCCAAGGAAAGGAAGAGGCATTCCCAAGGGCATCCACCTGGTTTAAGAGCAGGAACAATAACATAGAAGCCTCTGGGAAGGAATAGGGTTTTTGTCTTGTGCAGGTCATTGCCCCGAGTTCTGCTCTGACTGCATGTAAAGTGCCAGGGCTGGGCCTTTAGACAGCACTCTGCTCATCTCCCCGGTACTGAGCACCCACTCCCTGCCAGGCCCTCCCTGGGCCCTGGGGGTACAGCACCGATAGAAGACCAAGTCCTTGCCCTCATGAAGCTGACATTCTGATGACAGATGCAGAAGAAAATGCATCATCATAAAAGTAAACATTTTTCTTTCTATCCCTGGTACAGTGCTTTTGCAATTAGAACCCCCTTTATTTGAAAATAATGTTGCCCTGGCTGGTCTATGTGGCTCAGTTGGAGCATAGTATCATACACCAAAAAGTGGTGGGTTTGATTTCCAGTCAGGGCACATATTCAGGTTGTGGGTTCAATCCCCATATCACATCAATGTTTCTCTCTCTCTCTCTCTCTCTCTCTCTCTCTCTCTCTCTCTCTCTCTTTCAAAATCAATATAAAAAATAATGTAGCCCTAGCTGGTTTGGCTCAGTGGATAAAGTGTTGGCCCATGGACTGAAGGGTCCCAGGTTTGATTCCGGTCAAGGGCACATACCTCTTGCAGGCTCCTCCCTGGCCCTGATGGGGGGAGAGGGGGGCTCATTCAGGAAGCAACCAATCAGTGTGTCTCTCTTACATCAATGTTTCTTTCTCTCTCTCCATCTCTCCCCTTCCCTCCCTTCCACTGTCTCTAAAAATCAATGGAAAATTATCCTCAGGTGAGAATTAACAAAAAATCAAAATAAATAATGTAAATTTTATGTCCAAATATTCAGTTAAATTAGTGACTTCAAACCTGTATGGTCCCTACTCCCCCCAGTCAGGGCAGTTGTAGCAAACAGATTTTGGTTCCCTGTAAGGAAGGGCCTTTATTAGAGTTGTTCGGAAGGAATAGGCTGCTGCTGAAGGTAGAAAGTTTCCTTCTGTTGGAGGTGTTCATTTATTTTTTTATTTTTTTAATATGTTTTATTGACTTTCTACAGAGAGGAAGGGAGAGGGATAGAGAGTTAGAAACATCGATGAGAGAGAAACATCGATCAGCCGCCTCCTGCACGCCCCCCACGGGGGATGTGCCCGCAACCAAGGTACATGCCCTTGACCGGAATCAAACCCGGGACCCTTGAGTCCGCAGGCCGACGCTCTATCCACTGAGCGAAACCGGTTCTGGCTGGAGGTGTTCATTTAATTCAACAA